CTCATTGTGTGGCTCGAGATTTGCGGATGTCCAGAGGAATCGCTGCGACGTTCAATGAGAAGTTTGGGCGTGTCGGAGAACTACGCCGACAGGATCCAGAGGTTGGAAGCGTCTTGAGGCTAACCGACAATGCACATGGTCAAGCAAGACACATCTTCTATCTGGTCACCAAGGAATGGTCCCCGAGTAAGCCGACTTATCTCAATCTATGGAAGACCCTGATTGAACTGAGGGAAGCCCTGCTAAACAACAACATTGCACGATTAGCCATTCCGAAGCTGGCGTGTGGACTCGATGGTTAGAGTTGGCGTACAATCCGGAACATGATTGAAGTCTTGTTCAGATTTACGGGAATCGAGATCCTCGTTTGCTGCTACCACCCAAAGCTGAGATCGGGAGAGAAAACTGTAGACTGCTATTTCTACCAGACTTCGCAATGTACCAGGGGCCAGCTTTGCAAATACCTTCATTCACCGTGTATATCTCAGGACGAGCATGTGCCTAAGAAGGGGGCAGTGTTGCGGACCCGTGTGAACTCGACCTAACTTAACTATATGTCCCGCCCTCAGATGACCTTAACATCGCATTAAAGAATAGACACCGTAATGATTCATTCGTTCGAGAAGAATCTAGTCCCACTGGAATGGACTAGTACATACGAGAACATTCGAAAACCTTCTCTACGCACCTAACGATCTATGGACTATTCTAAAGTTCTTTACCTGTCGGTATAAAAGCCGGCGGCCGTGGCCTACAGGGGGCAGTTATAAATATACCAGTGCAGTTGACACGCTAAAATTCAAAATAAATTCTTAGTTATAAATCGTTTGTAAATAGTTCTATGAGTCTTTTATCGTTATTGTTTTTGTTAATTAGTGTTAAATAAATAGTGTTTAAATAAATTGTAACTTTCTATCCACACGGAACCGACGAAAAACGTAACAATATATTTTTACAACCTGAATAAAATTTATTTTTAATGATTTTAAAGTTTGACAGACATGCACAAATTGTTGGCATTTTTTAAACAAGTAAAAGTAGGAAATACATTAAAAATTGTACTTTCAAGAAATATATTATAATATAACTATAAGTGCTGTATTTTACTAATCTATCATTTTAATCAAAATCATCAGGATAATATTAGGTATTGATTTTCAGACAAGAATTAGATTACAGCGATGGCCAAAAGCATTAGATATTGTTTCGAAATCTACAGATAAGGTATGACATTAGGTCCAAGGTACGACAGTTTCATTTTAAAGAACAAGATGTTAAAGTTTATGACAAAATTGTCATCAGAAATACTGTCCACTTACAGTATTTATGTACATACGAAAATATTGGAGGATGAAGCTTTACCTACTACCTCAGGTTAATTTAAATTCTGAGTTCCATCAACAGAAACAAGCAAGAAGGGAACGATTAAATGAATATTATACACATAAGTATTGTTATACACAGAAAGAGTAAAAAAAATAACGCTTTATTGTACAAAAAGCAACAGTTTCATCGACAAAGCAAAACAAAAAAGCACAAAAACAAATATACAAAAAATGTCATACAATACAAACCAATTCAAAAAAATTTACGTCATAAAATTACAATTAAAACATATAGGGACATTGCAGAACACAGGCGTATCTAGAAAATTTTACAAAAGGAAAACTGTAAATGTATAAAATCATGTTATTATAACATAAAATCAAGAGTTATAAAATATTAAATACTAGACCTTTAACCAGTGTGTGAGATGATCAAAATATTAAAATGAAAATTTAAAATTGTTCATGATTAAACACCAACAAAAAAGTCGTTTACCGCATATAGGGCTCTCTCCAGTAAGTATGATTTCAGAGCTTTGCGAAATGCGGGAAAGAATGAAAGTGAATTGATATTCGAAGGCAAATGATTGTACATTTTCTTGGCATTGTACAGTATTGAGCCCTTAACTAGTTCTGAGCTCGGGGTTGGCAGATAAATATTGTGCTCCGCATTCCTAAGTGGATAAGAAGGCCTTTCCGGAATAGAGAATATGTGCTTGCGGATTAAGCAAACGGATTCAAAAATGAATAAGGAAAGAAGAGTCAGTATTTTGAAATTTTTAAAGAAATTCTGGCAGTGAGTTCTACTGTTTAGTCCCAATAAGTATCGAACTGCTCTCTTTTGAAGTTTGAAAATACGATAAATTTTGTCGCGCAGCAAGTACCCGAGAATGGAAGGGCATAACGAAGATGCGACTCAAAAAGGGCATAATAGACCATTCTAGATGATGAGTTAAGTTCCTTAGAAACTGATCTTAGCGCAAAACAGGCAGAGCTTAGTTTCTTTGATAAGGCTTCGATGTGCAAGTCCCATTTTAACGAGTTGTATACAACAAGTCCTAAGAATCTCACACGACGAGTCCACGACGTCAATAGTGATGTTATTAAGTACAAAAGGTTGTATAGTACTTTTATATGACAAAACTTTAGTTTTTGAAAGGTTGAAGCATAGGAGATTAGAATCGCACCAATTATTGGTTTCGCACCATATAGATTTAATCGTGCGTAAGTCACTGGATATAGTATCATATAGTGCCGTAACATCTGGACCGCTCCAAGTGAAACTAGTATCGTCCGCAAAGAGGCAGATTTCACCGCTAATGTCTAGATTTGCAATGTCGTTGATAAACACCAGAAATAAAATAGGGTCAAGTACTGAACGCTGAGGGACACCACATTCTATAGGCTTACAAGAAGACATAGACGCATCAATCCTCACAAGCTGCCTTCTGTTGCCAAGATACGACTTAAGCCATTCGAGCGGCACTCCCCTGAATCCATAGTATTGCAATTTGTTAATTAAGATATTATAATTTACACAGTCGAAAGCCTTAGAGAAATCACAGAAAATTGTAGCTGTAGAGTGATGGTTATTCAGGCTAGAGTATACATTATTAAAAAGGTCGAACATAGCATCATTTGTGCAATATATATATATATATATATATATATATATATATATATATATATATATATATATATATATATATATATATATATATATATATATATATATATATATATATATATATATATATATATATATATATATATATATATATATATATATATATATATATATATATATATATATATATATATATATATATATATAGTAATATTAGTATTTTAATAAAGCACGCTTTTAGATGTATCAAAAAACTTTTAATAAGAGTAACTTTAACTCTACATATATGTTTCGGCTTGTTAGGCCTTTTTCAAAAGTTTTTTAAGAACGTCGAAGCAGTTCTTAAAAAATTTCAACGATGTTTCACAAGGAACCAACCACAGCTTCAGTACAATTTATATAGTAATATTATACATATAAATATCAACATTTTGTAGAACAACAAGAGAATAAAAGACCAAAATATGAACACCAGCAACTAAAACACAAACCATTAAATGAATATTATACACATAAGTACAATTTGATCGAAAAAAAAAACGGCGTCAACGATGCCTATGAAATGAAGATTGCTGTCATTTTATAAATATATGGAGAGAGAGAGAATGTCATCGATGTTCATTACCAAGCCAACTGGACGCCGTTTTTTTTTTCGATCATACGGTATTATTATATACATAAAGAGTAATATTACACACATAAGGATCCCTTGATAAAGATCAACAGTTTGTAGAGCAATAACAGCATCAAATAATGGAAATAATGGACCCTATTGCTCAAATCAAAAACAAAATTTCAGCATTACCACTTTATTGGTTATATCAATAAACCTAAAGAAATTGAGTTTTTGAGGTTTAGATCCTACAAGCAAGCTGATCTTAAGTCACATAATTTTAAATGAAGATTTATCTATTATAGTATGTATAAACATTTTGCATCTTTTCTTCAATGTTGTAATGAATTAACAAATTACAGGTAATTTATTCTAATAACGAAAAAAAACTTTGGATCAAAAAATAATTTCTTATGATGAGGTTTATGAATGTTAAAATCTATTGGAGTTTGGCCATTATGTGTTGGTATACAATTTATTTGATATTACAGTAGTTAAACCATCCGAGTATGAAACGTGTTTAAAATCCACTATTCTTAATGAATGGCACTACCAACTTGAGAGGAAACTAAGAGAAAGGTTCTATTGGGTGGATTACAAGGAAAACATGAGGATCTGGAAAGGCTATAAAATTACGTCCCAAGCCATGGGACAATGGGAAACGAAATTCAAAGGAAAAAATTACAATACGTGGGATGCAAATTACACTGCAAAGAATTGAGAAAAAGAATTATTAAAAGTAGTTAATATTACGATAGTTAAACCATCCGACTACCAAACATATTTAAAATTCACTATTCTGAATGAACGGCAACTACCAACTTGGAAAGCTGCGAGAACAATTCTATTGGGTGAACTACAAGGAAGACATGAGGATCTGGAAGGGCAATAAAATTATATTATTCCACGTCCCAAGCCATGTTGGAATAGCTGGGAGTGAAAAAGAAGATAATACTGCACACGATTCTTGTCTAGAAGAAAAAAAAATAAATACTTGTACAGTATAAAATTACATTATATTGGCTTAATTTTTATACTAAATAAAATGTGTTGCGTTATTTTCGACATGCATTATATTTATTTAAATCCCATATCATCAATTAATTACTTTAAATAAAGTTTTCCTAATTATAACTAACATTAATTTTAAACTAAAGTTTTTTCATCTTGAATGAGATTTACGAAATAACTTATGAGAAACAATAAAAAAGAGGGTCAGTCTATTGCTCCTGAATAATCGATAATAAAACCACATATTGTCTTAATTTTTATACTAAATAAATATGAAGTTATTTTAAAGCTGCATTATATTTATTTAAAACCCATCACCAATTATTAATTTAAATAAAATTTTCTTAATATATCTAATTAATATTAATTTTAAGCTAAAAGGATCACAATATTTTTTCATCGTCTTGAATAATTTGCGAAATAACTTATGAGAAGCAATAAAAAAGGGCGTAGTCATAGACTTAAAATAATAGTCTATTGCTGCTGAATAAAAATATCTAATTTATTTCATGTGACATGAAAATAAAATTTATATTTTTTTGTAACCCTCGCCTTCACCCATATGCTTCACGTTAAATATTTATGTCTTTTGAATCCTCTGTTGCCACATCTGTTCCAAAAATATCCGGCGCATGTCTTAAATTTTAAATTTTTGCTACAGCAGCGCCATCCTACTTCTTCCCTTTTTTGACCATTTTTTAATGCACGGAGTTGTTTCTCCTTACCTGTACACTCCATAGTTACCGTATTCCTCCGAAATGGCTTGACCGATTTTGATGAAGTTTTATATGTATATTCAGTAGGTTTGAGAACAGATTGTTATCTATTTTTATACCCTTAAGTGATAAGGATAGCCCACCCCCATTTTTTTTATTTTTTGAAAAAAAAGTTATTTTTATTATTTTTTTATTTGGCATTAAAAAATACAAACAACCCTAAATTTTCACCGTTCTACCATCATCATTTTTAATAGGGGTTGTTTTTTTTTAATTTTTTGTTACCATCTCCGAAACGGCTTGACCAATTTTGATAAAATTTTATATGTATATTCAGTAAGTCTGAGAATACGTCGTTGTCTATTTTTATACCCTTAAGGCAAAGACTCTTAAGGGTTAAGGTTGGACTCTTCAGCAACTCCTCCACGTAGATGTAAGGGTAAATAAAATCAATCCACTAAAAGCCTCATCTTACATACCATTACCGAAGGAAATAGAAGCGAAAAAAGCTGTATTGAACATACAAAACACTGACCAGAAATGTTTTGTATGGTCGGTTTTAGCTGCCTTTCACCCAATTCATTGGACTATGAATCTTTTGAACAGGAATTGGATGTGACAGGTATAGATTTTCCGATATCTTTGAAACAAATTTCAAGATTCGAACAATTCAATAATATTTCTATTAATGTTTATGGGCTCGAGAAGGCTTATAAACATGATAGGAATATTGCTGAAGTTGTGGGTCCTTTGTATTTTACTAGATCTCATAAGGTAGATAGACATGTGAATTTGTTATTAATCAGTGATAATTCTGGCAATAATCATTACTGTTTAATAAGAAATATATCTCGCCTAATCTCAAACCAACTTTCAGGCAAACAACATTCAAAATTCTTATGCGATGGTTGCTTGGCTTATTTTTCTTCAAATATTAAATTAGAAAATCATCAAAAATACGATTGTGAACATGTTATAGTTGAAACTCCTTCGGATAATTTAAAGAAAAATAAATATGGTGAAAATATTCCCGAGAATATCCCTAAATTTACGAATTTCGAACGAAAATTAAAAGTGCCTTTTGTTGTATACGCTGATTTTGAAACTATTTTAGAACCTATACAAACAGAGCAAAACGAGTTGGATCCTGAAATTTCCTATACGGTGAAAACACACCAACACGTTCCTTATTCTTTTGCCTATTACATTAAATTAAAACGTTTTCATAGATTGGTTAGAGACTGATTGTAAATCATTCTACAATCGATTTATGAAAAATATTGTATCCATGTCTCCTCCCAGTAGCGTACAAGAAGCTGAGTTTTATCAGGTTACGCATTGTCATATTTGCGAAAGACTATTTAATGTAGAAGATGAAAGAGTAATGGACCACTGCCATCTAACAGGAAATTATCGAGGTGCGGCTCACTCTGTTTGTAACCTAAATTTTAAAGTACCTAATTTTATTCCTGTGTTCTTCAACAACATGTCAAATTTTGACAGCCATCTTTTTATAAAAGAATTGGCCGTTGAGGAAGAACAATTAGATGTCATCCCCCAAAATAAAGAAAAGTATATTTCTTTCACTAAAAATATTATGGTGGGCCATGACGTCACTCAACAAGAACAGGAAAAGCGGCAACAAAGGGTATTTTCAAAATTAAGATTTTTAGACAGTTTTCGCTTTATGGCATCCAGCTTGGATAAATTAAGTCAAAATTTAACATCTCAACAGTGTCGCAAAATTAGAAAGTTTTTACCTAACGAAGAGAATTTAAGGTTATTCGTATGAAGGGTGTTTTCCCATATTCGTATGTAGATTCTTTTTCCAAATTAGACGATACCAAGCTTCCACCCATTGATGGCTTCTATAACGAGCTTAGAAAAGAAGCCATCAAACAAGGAGATTACGAGCGTGCATTGAACGTATGGAACTTATTTAAATGTCAAACTTTAGGCGAATATTCAGATATATATTTAAAATCCGACGTACTATTATTAACTGATGTTTTTGAGAATTTTAGAGAGGTGTGTCTACAAACATACAGTCTAGATCCATGTCAATATTTCACCGCACCTGGTCTATCCTTTGACGCTGCTTTGAAGACAACATCTATCGAGCTGGAATTATTGACAGATCTAGACATGATACATTTCTTTAAACACCGGATTCGCGGCGGTGTCAGTCAATGTAGTGTTAGAAAAGCTATCGCGAATAACAAATTTATGTCTATATACGACGCTGCCAAACCTACTTCCTACATTATGTACTTGGATGCTACCAATTTATATGGCGCGTCCATGTCACAATATCTACCAACAGGTAACTTTACGTGGGTAACAGAAGAAGAAATTTCAAACTTAAATTTTATGAATATCGATAAAAATTCTAATATAGGTTATGTTTTTGAAGTCGATTTAGAGTATACGGAGCATTTACATGATTTGCACAACGAATTACCCTTTTGCCCAGAGTCCGTTCAACCAGAGGGATCTAAAGTTTCAAAATTAATATCCAATTTTAATTCTAAAGTTAGATATGTAATTCATTATCAAAATTTACAACAAGCGTTGAACCATGGTCTGAAACTTGCCAAAATTCATCGCATATTATCCTTTAACCGATCTCCCTGGTTGAAAACCTACATTGATCTAAATACAGCAAAGCGTAATAACGCTGAAAATAAGTTTGAAAAAGATTTTTTCAAACTTATGAATAACGCTGTATTTGGAAAGACAATAGAGAACGTGGAGAAACGGGTAAATATTAAATTAGTTAGCCACTGGGAAAATATTGGTAGAAAGCTAGGGGCAGAAACGTACATTTCCAAGCCGCATTTTAAAGACTTGACGATTTTTAGCGAGAATTTATATGGCTAAACAGAAAATCGTATATAATAAACCTATTTACGTAGGCTTTTCAATTTTGGAAATTTCCAAAACTATTATGTATGATTTTTTGTATAGCTATATTAAACCAAAGTAGGGTAATAAAGCTTCACTGCTCTACACTGACACCGATTCTCTCATTTTACAAATTCAAACTGACAATTTTTATGATGACATGCGCGAAAATTTAGATAGATTCGATACGTCAAATTATTCGCAAAACAACCCACATAATATTCCTGTAAATTCGTCTGTGTTAGGCCGTATGAAGGATGAATATGCAGGAAAAATTTTGTGGGAGTTTTATGGAACTGATGCTAAAGCATATTGTGTAAATGTGGATGGTGAGTTAACGGAAAAAGCCAAAGGCGTGCCTGACTACATCACCAAACAAGATATTAGTTTGGATGATTATAAAAACACGGTCGATGTAGTAGGTACGAAAATATATCGCTCGATGAACACTTTCCGTTCACATTTACACAATATGTATGTAGAGCTAAAAAATAAGATAGTCTTATCCTACGCGGACGATAAGAGATTTCTTATTTCCAATTCCGAGCACACGCTCGCATGGGTTCACAAAGATATCGGAAAATCTAAAGGCTGAAACCAATGACAGCTATTTTTTACTTCTATTTCCTTTGATATTTTTTTATTTATTTATTTATTTATTAATATTTAGTTACTTTCATGTTTAAGAGGATGGGTTAATTTTATTTTTATATTTTTTAGTATATTTTATTTAGAGAATTATATTCAATATATTTAATATTGCTATATTTAACATATTTATATTGTATACACATTTTTTATATTATTATATTTTTTATGTTATTATTATATTATTTTTTATTTAGTATTATATTCAATATATTTTAGCTTACTATATTTAACATATTTATATTGTATACAAATTTAAACGTTTTCTACTATGTCTACTTGTTGATTTAAGCTTTTCAATAGCTGCATTCAAATTTAGTAATTTTTTCCTAACATAAATAATTATTTTTTTATATTATATTTATTTTACACATGTATTTAACAGTACCGAAAAACATTTTTCAATCTTTTATATTGTACAAGACTGATTTTATAAAAAAATATATATATTTAGAGTATTCTAAATAAAGCAATTTTTTCATTTCACTGTGTATTTATTTTCCATATTTCTCTCATCTAGTAAATTATAAAAAATAGATAAACAATATTTAAATAACAATATACAATCATCTTCCCAGTCAATACAAGTTTTCCATCTCTTATCTTTAATTATCACCACTTTCACTTCTTCTTCAAAAGCATAAGTTATGTTTAAATGTCCATCAATTTCTATAGATTTATCACACCAACCACTATTAACGTTTTCATCAACAAAGTCCAGAAACGTTGAAAAACCTTAATATGACATTTGAATCTTCTTCTTCTTGTTTGTATTTTGGACAACAATTTGCTTTTCTGCCAAGTTCTCGGAAATGTTTAATGCTACATTAATTATTGGTTCTAATACACTTGATTTATCCATAACGATTTGATGAGAGCGATGTGAACATAATATTCCTGTAAATTCGTCTGTGTTAGGCCGTATGAAGGATGAATATGCAGGAAAAATTTTGTGGGAGTTTTATGGAACTGGGGCTAAAGCATATTGTGTAAATGAGGATGGTGAGTTAACGAAAAAGGCCAAAGGCGTGCCTGACTACATCACCAAACAAGATATTAGTTTGGATGATTATAAAAACACGGTCGATGTAGCAGGTACGAAAATCTATCGCTCGATGAACACTTTCCGTTCACATTTACACAATATGTATGTAAAGCTAAAAAATAAGATTGTCTTATCATACGCGGACGATAAGAGATTTCTTATTCCCAATTCCGAGTACAGGGTGGGTCAAATTCGACGCTTTTAAATAGAAACACCCTTTTCTATAGGAGATAGACAAAAACTAATATCGGTGTCTGGAGCTCAATTTCTGCCAAAAACATGCTGGTGAAAACCGCACATCAATATCTGTTACCGTTTCGGAGTTACGGGGTGTTTTTCAAAAATGTGCATTTTTAACAAATCGCTGTAACTTTTTTGCTATGGAAGATTTTGTATTTCTATTTAAACATTTCCAAAGCACCTTTTTACGTAGAATTTAATGGTTTAAGTATAATTTTTTTTTAAATTAATAATTTAAAAGTTATCAACAGAAAATTTGATTTTTTATTTGGGACACCCTCTATATTTTTAATTAACTGAAAAGAATTTAAAATTACCTTTCCGAAAATATAGCACACTTGATATTTTGTTATAATCCCCTTCGAAATACAGAATTTTTAAAAGTTCGCCACTTTTAACTAGTAGGCTTTGGACCCCTTATTGATGATTAATGGAACTCTCGGAAACATATTTTCTCCAGCAAGACGCCGCACCGCCTCTCAACGCTGAAGTTATCAGCAAATTTTTGCAGCCAATTTCAAAAATAATTGAATAGCTAACCAAGATCCCAGCCGTTGGCCGTCGAGGCCGCATGCGACCCATGGATCTGATCCTATGGATATATTTGCGGAAGAATAATTAGAAATACTTAGCAGTTATGAGAGGGTATCTTTCACCCCCACTGAGTTAATGAATTCCGCGCGAATTGTCTAAAAACTGCCCCGTCTGTCCATAACAGAAG